TGGGCAGACATTGGGTATTTGTATAGAGGCACTTAAAGCTAGTCGTTGTGGTTAATTCTGCTGTGCTGCAACGCACGACTCCCGGGGAGCCAGCAGTGATTCGTTTTTTAGGTAAATCGTTTTTTGACCCCAATTTTGCCATCATAGTGTGAATATCAACCGTGGTTTGTTGGTATTCATCAGTGATCTTTGCTATCCATACTAAACACCGGGTCAGTCTCAATGCGGGTCGGTAAACATAAGGCCTCAGCTATGTGTGAGGGCCTGATCAGGCGGCCTGTCATACTCATTGCTGTACTCGGTGTCGCCTTACCTGGTTACTTATCGTGCCTGCTAGGTCCGTGTCCATGTGCGACTCTGATTAACCTGTAATCTAATCCAACATAATCTTCCGTACTTGTTGCTGTACGCATTGTCGCTTATCTTTGCTACTCATGATAGCCAACGGGCCAGTATTTATGCCAATCGCTGAATACGAGGCCCAAACTATGCACACATACCTAATCTAATGACGAACGACGAACGTCCCACTCGTAATTGTACGCGATATGGCCTACCTAGACTACTTTCTGAGACTGCTAGGCTAGTGCCTATATGCGACGCTGACTATTGGGCCTCAGCTATGCTCAGTGTCCCAATTTAATTGCCAACAATGGCCGCCATACCCATAGATGAGTGCGCTCTCGCTTATGTCTTAATAGACATAAGTAGACATAGTAAACACCAGGGAAGTATTTATGCGGGCCAATAAACATGAGGCAACAACTATGCGTGATATCCTAATCTAACGGTCAACGACGGTCCGCCATACTCGTAACTATAGTTGCTATCGCCTACCTCGGCTACCCATCGTAATTGATAGGCCTGTGTCTATGCGCAACGCTGAGTATGAGGCTTCAGCTATACCCAATAACCCATCCCAAATGCCAACGACGGCCCGTCATACTCATGAATACACTCGATGTCACCTGCCGAGGCTACTTATACTAACTGCCGGGACCGCGCACATGCTCATAGTTGACCATAATGTCCTGACTGTACATAATAGACTAATCAAACGACCAATGACGGCCCTTCACATCCCTACGCCGTCCACCTGCCAACACACCATGCCTGAAAAATACACAACCACCTTTTATTAATCATGCTTCTATTTATTGGTTATGTTAAGGTCGAACGGTATCTTCGAATGACGCGTAATACCAGAACCTCGGGGTAGGCAAAACAAAGTCGGCGCTATGTTTCTATACGTTACTATTAGGGTATGAGAAATTCATAATTTGTACAAACCTCGACAGTAGCTACGCGTCCAAAACAAACAGTCCGCTTGGACTACAAAAGTACAAAGCAAGGGAGAAAACGGGCGCCCACGTGCGACAGTCACACGTGCAAAGTCAGATACAAATGGCCGGATGACCTCAAGGCCAAATGGGTGAAGTGGTAAGGACAAACAAACGTCAGTTCATATGTATACGCCGTTGAGTAGCTACGGATAATTGGGATCTGGCTCACGTCACGGATTCCACATACACGCGCACAACTACCCGCAATCATCTTCTGCAAAAACCGGGAAGATTTACGGGCGCTATCGAGAAATCTGCCCGCGTAAGTTTCACCGCTGAATCCCTCTTCGTTGCGGATCGATGGTCACTGACCTTCCGAGTTGACTGCGTTCACAACTTCTGCCAACCGGCTAACGCACACGCTAGTCCGAGTGTAGACGCAAAACCGCACATACACGCCACACGATCGCAATTTCGCTAGCTAGCCTGCCCTACACACACGCCCAAACATGTCCAAACGCGTCACCCGTTCTATAGCATCAACATTAACGAAAGCGTCGACAGCGCGCACGATAACAAAAAAAAATTCAATGCGACCCATATGTGACCTGTTCTGACCCGGTGAGTCTCAATACGCCCTCAGTTCAATGTTGTTTTTGTAAACTACAAACATGTTTTTCTTACCGCACCGTGAGAAATCGGTCCAAAAGGCTTTATTTCTACGGATGATTCTGCGCGCCTCCTTCCGTTTTACTCACACGGACCTCCAAATACTCTATGGGGTTACTCCAGGTCGCTCCTTGAATATACCAAAGAAGTTGCCCCCTCAGGACTTGCGAAGGACTTAACCCACACTGACAGTGTCCAGCGAGCGGCTGCAAGAATGGTCTCCGACCTTATGTACATGGTCTATGGAACGCGTCTAGTGGCGGTTGACCTCTTTCCCCTGGAATATCGTCGCATCCTAGGGGACCTAATTCTTACTTTTGCCCTGTTTGAATAAGTGTGACCAACTGACTTTTCACCGCTGACCCAACTAACATACGTGGAAGGAAAATTCTCAAGCTCAGAGCGCACAATTTTTAGTGATTTCGGGTGGTTGCTGCATGGAATAACCTTCCTCTGACGGTTGCCCACCCTCTATCCAGAACTCAAATGAAAGCATTATTAGACACTTTTTATGCTAGTCTTCGCACTGACAAACTTACCGTTCTGCGCTGAAAACTTAAAGAGCAGTGCTATACTCTTTTCTCGCTCGTGTCTTTCAGGTGAACGGCAACTGCTGAACGAAAAGAACAAAACTGACCCGGGAAACTTGGGCAAAAGCCTCGATCCTGTGTATCAATCCGTGGATCCGTGGTTCTGATTCCGACTGCCCACATCGATTCACACATTACCGCAGCACACTCGCACACTACCAGCGGAACAGGTTCAGGATTTATCACAACCACAAAGGGCCACTGAAACCCTTTATTTGTTTTACGACGTCAAGTGTGTCAGTGGTAATAAACTGCTGGTTGTCGCGCTGCTTACGCGTTTGCTCCTAATTTTTTGCGTAGGCTTTGGCGTCATTCCCACTTTAATGATCGGTAAGCTGGAATGCTCAAGAAAAGGTTTTCAGCCAAAGCCCTTTTTAAGGAAAAAGTCACAGGTAAAATAAACGACGCACGAACGTGACAGACGGATAATAAGAAGGTTACTGTCTTAGGAAAATGCCTGTGTTATGGGATGGCTTTTTGCCTGGAGAAATATGGACAACGATGAGCAAGATTGTGTATTCAGACTCATGAGCTACACGGGTGCTTGTCTCTGGCACATAAGGGAGACGGGAACGAAGTCAATGATGGACTGGCTGTTGACTATATTTAGTTCGCAATTTATAGACCGCACGCACCACTTATACAACTTGCTAGTAGGTTCCTATAGGTCACTTTGTCTACGGACCATATAAGTGTAGTGGTTGTTCTAACCTCTTGCAGGTGAAGGAACTCGCGTCCTGTAAACAATGCGTTCAGAGTAATGTGAGGAATTCTGGGTTGGAAAACTCACTTGGAACCGATACTCGAGTGTCAATTTTGTCCACAAAATTACTTTGTTGGGCTGTCGCAATATGGTTTCTCTGTTGCGAGCAATTTACAGTGTAATAAATGCACTGTGCAATGGGGAATGATTGGGCGAATGCTACCACAGGCCTCAGAAAATTGTTCGTCAACCCCCGCAGCAAACCTGGTAGAGAGGCGGAGCAGATGGACACACATATTTTATCCATACCAGTCATCAACACCGAACCACTTACCTTATGGTTCAACTGGATGATGTTATGGTTTGAAGATATACACGCATTTGCCTCAAAAAATAGTGTGGTTGAACGGCATGGGGTTGTGGGGGAGTGGCCCTGGAGACCCAAAAATGCCTTCGGTGGGCGAAGCTACCACGGATAACAACAGCCCACCTAACCGTGAAACAGGAGTGGCTAAGCCATTCGGCTGAACAATAGCAAGGACAATTCAGTTGGACAGTTGAAGTTGCCCAACTGGATTCTCGACTCCCAACTCAGTCTCAGACACTGAAATTGGAACCTTCGACGGTTTTGGAGATAAGCTGTCTTTCAAGCGTCACAGGGCTGCCGGTTTGGATGAACTCTTACTCGCTCTGTTCAAAGATAAAGTTAAGGTCCACAGTTGTTGTTTGTCTAACTTATTCGCCCCTATCTGAAAAAGGAACGTTCCAACTATGTGGCTGTGTCAACAGTTGTGCCGATTTCCAAAAGAGGGTGCTCACAGAGAGTGTGGCATTCATAGAGAGTTTAGACCGTCCAGATTCTTCGTCGCTTACATTATCTCGTCTTATGTAGGTGCATGCAGACAGTACTCGAGATTAGCAATCGGAGTTCCGACCAGGAAGGGACTGTGTGAGCCCCACCTTCGAGGCGGGCGTATAAGCGCCTCAAAATATTGATGTTCCTTAACTTCAAGAGCGTTCGATTTTGTCGACCGGTTGGTACATCTCAGTATAGTTTCGCAGCAGGTTTTGCTCCAACAGTCTAAATTTGTACCGCAGCGAAGCATCGGAGTTGAACACTAATGTCCTGCTGTCGGTGACGGGTAATTTCTCCATTGATAAGGTAATGAAGCGAATACTGGAAAATCTCCGGAACACCAGTGTTTGGATTCCTCCGGGCGAGAACTTTGTCAACTTTGAATTCGCAGGCATCAGCTGTGATGGTAGTATGACAGACGAAGTGAGTGCACAAATCTTGAAGGCCACGGTCGTCCTTGCCAATTTGCGCCACATGTATAAAAACGGTATCTCACTAGGTCTAAAAGGACGCGCATATCACATCACATTATGGGCTTTATTGTTGCAGGGCTGCAACACTTGGCCATTTCGAATGGAGAATCTTAAACAGCCATGCAGGTCTGTCACCATCGATATCTCAAAGCTATGACTGGAACTGGTGAGTGCGCGAGGCGATGGTCAGGAGGCCGATCTTTGTTGGAGCACATTGTCCTTCACTGCAAGGTAAGGTGGGTAGACTGTGTGAAGCATGCCGAGATGAGCGCTGTCTTCTGTGCCCAATTTTGAGTGTCGGAAACCTACAGGACAGAAGGGAATAAAAGTTGTTGCGAAAAGTTAGTATAGTCGCTGCTCTTAGCCTTCCATGGTGGGGTTCACGTGATTCTCCCTGTGCTTGACTGGAGATACTGAGTGGCATGGTGACTAACCGATGTCAATAACGTTCAGTTTCTCTCTAGCTTGCCTGGCTGGGCGTTGGAAGCTTAGGCACCACGGATGTTTGTGTTAGGCTAGTCATAGTTTTCTCTCCCCATCCCATTTCTGTCTTCCTGTTATAAAGCTCTATTCAACTAAATTGATGTGGTTGTACGGCAGTGAAGCGCCAGTGTTTTAATCTAGTGTTGATTTCACTGATGATGATGATGATGGCGATGATAGTGATCTTGTGTGACCCGCCCGGGCCTGGAAGAATGTAGGGTTTTGTTTCGGGATCTTGACCGTGGCTTTGGGCCCATAAGTATAGCCCTCAGGGCAGCGAGTATTAGGATTTACCTCAGAAACCCGCTTAGGAGCTCGAGATTGACATGAAGGTTCGTGATTCGAATCCCGACCTGGACATCTCAACTGCTCCTGTCGAGGTTTGGACAACCTAGTAGCATCCCAGCCCTCATGCTTCCTTGTAGTGTATGTGTGTAGGGTGTTACATTAGGGCGACAATGATTTTTACCCTTCCTAGATTTAGTGGTTCATTTGTCTGAATTGCTCGGGTTTGGCCTAGACCAAGGACAGCACTTAAGGCATAAATGTCTCAATCCTAATACTGATGCGCTTAGCAGGTTTGCTTGGAGCCTCATCGGTCATCATCAAAGACAGCAGCATCAGTGTTAACACTGATGCTTCACTGCCGTACAACCATAAGGTTTGTCTAGTTATATATATATATATATATATATATATATATAATTATATTAAAAGC